TGATTGCACTCAATGCTGAGGCTGGCGCGCTTCAACCATTACACTGGTCAACAAAAAAAAATTCTGGCCTGGACTTTTGCAGCTGTTTTAGACTAATTTCATGGTGCTGATTCAAAATCTGATCTCAGATTTGCTCTATCACATCATGCTATCGGCATACCCCATTTTCATTGATTTTACCCTAAATTAACTCTGTCACTTATGATTGCAAGTTGTTGCGAGTCAGTGACTGCTTTAGTGTTAAAATATGGTGCTGTATTTTTAGCATAGTGTGTTTATAATATCATTTTATGTAGATATCCACATTTATTTAATATTTTTCTTCTGCAGTTTTTATTGAAAATGCTATATTTGATATCTCAAAAACCTGATGTGATAAGACAAAATCTGATGCTAGATTTGGAATCAGCACCCCAAAATTACCTTAAAACTGTTGGAATACCTTATGCCAGAAAAAGTCTGTTGACCAGTGTTATCGGCGCGCGTTACATAAAATACTGGCGCACGTTATAAAATGAACTGATGCTTTCATATCTAATAATGACACACATTGCTCAACATATGGATTCATGCACTAAATGGTGCCAAGGCATTTGGAACAATTCACTATTCATGCACTTTCATCTTGTTCTTTGGCATAAAGAATTTGGGAAGTTAAAATATTTTTTCATTCCTTGTCTTTTTTGGAGTTTAAAGTATTCAGTGATGTTTATTAAGAAACCAAAATAGGGAATTATATTTTTGCCAATTGAATCACAGTCTTTATTTACGATTATTTTCAAACGATACATAGTCCTACGTGTAGAACATGTCCTAATTTTTTTGTAATTAATATCTAGTAGAAATCAATGTACAGTACGATTGTTCAGCTCCATCCAATTGCTAGCTTTGTGTTCATTCGACAATTGCAAATGTTTTGTATTTCTTCGTAACACAAACGGAATTATACATAGAAATAAAATTAGTTGTTCAGCTCTACGTAAAACATTTCCTGAATTACATCTTAAATCTGAGACTGGATCAACAAAAAAGGAAAAATATTGAGTAAACAAATCTCAGAATTTGTATTTGAAATTTTGTCACGCAGAGAAAACATATACATTTTGAACTTTTTACTTTTCAGGCCATTCTATTATTACATCAGGATGCTCCTCTGGACGCATTTAAATCCTGGGTAATTAGCCTGAAAATAACAAGTAGATTCAATATAATTGAACGATTTTCTTAATTATGTGTGGTAAGATGATTAAGTGTATTCATTGATTGATTACACAGTAGGTTAACATTATTTAGTAATGTTATATTACCTGCGTTTGTTAGTGGCATTTATTTGAGTACAATATTCCATTGAATTTTTATCAAACATCGTATAACACTTATTTTTGTAATATTGAGTGCTGATAACAGATAAATGGAATAATTATAATCAATGATCAATGTTTATCACATATGCAGTTTTATTAGCATTGTAATGGATGTAAATAAGGTGCCAACCCAAGCAAACACCACAAATACTCAACAATTTAATGTGTTAACAGTTAAAAGTGCATTGCACAGCAGTGATATGCAGCACAATCGTTCAATTTGACCTATGATTGATCACAAAGTTTATATCCAATTGGGCAGCCCTGTGGCCAAATCTGCTAAACTGGTTGTTTTCAGAAGACGTCTATAACACCACATCAGAGCCAAGGTGTCGCTATGCTCAAACGAACATTGGGCAGTGTTTATTTTCATCAGTAGCCCTCAACCACAAGTCGATATTGCACGTTGCTTTGGTGAGGAATCTTTTGCACATAAGACAACCGCTGTTGACTTCTCACAGAATAGTACCAATTTTATCAACCACAGAAGGACAAGAGGCTGAGCTGACTATTGAGATGGATTTGATCATGAGATGAGTGCTCTGCTACAGTGCCAGCCAGGCAGCATTAAGAACAAATGTATAGGTCAGTATTTCTAAAACAAGTGATTACACCCCACATCTGATCCCTACAGATATATATAGACTGTAACATTTTTTCAAATATATACTTACATATTTTTTTCGGTTGCCAAACGAATACATTATAATGTCGCACTCATTATATACAAATACATATTCTGATTCTGATTCATTGCTTGAAATGTAAGATGCTTAGGACGGCTCTATTGTGTGCATAGAATAACCACCGTTAATTTCCCACAAAGTGATGTTCATTCTATTGACCGCTAAAGGGTGATTGGCTGCGCTAACATCTAACTGGAATCTGAACTCAACACAGTCAGATTATAAGAGCCACCAATTGATTCTGCTACAGTGTCACTCAACCGTGTCAATGGTTGAATGCGTGCATATAATTATAATGCTCTTAGCTAATTTAATCCATTAATTCGCATTCACAAATCTGACTATTTAACACAAGGCTACCAGAGAAACAACTACAGAATCTAACAGAGGGAAGGAAGCAATGGAGCCATTTGTGGCATCAACGGCAATGGCCGTGCGGAGTCCCTTGCCTCGAATGCTTTTAAAACATTAATGATTTATGTGAGTCATGCCGATCTGATCAGCTGATGGCAGCATTGGTTTGTGCAGCCAAGTACCAACGGATGCATTTCATGTGCATCCGTGGGAATACGTTGTCTCCCGTACACGTGTCTCTGTGCTCTGGTACTCCTGAAGCCAAATGCCGTGCAAAATGAAAATAGGAAATAATATTTTTAGCATGGCCGATGTGCAAAAAATGCCACAAGGAGAAGAACAACGTGAACTCTAAAGGCATTTTAAAGTAATGCATGTTATTGAGGATGTGCAGAAAGGTTTCTAAGGGTACTATTGCATAACTGTCAGTGTAAGATTTGAAAAGGTCATGCACTGTATTAATATGGGACATTCAAACAGACTCAAACATGACATACCACACTTGACGAATGATTATTAAAACAAGTTTTAAGTCATATTTGTTCTTGCATCGGTGAGAGGTATTAATTTCTCCAGTAGTTCACTTTCATTCTGATAATAATAAAACATACTCTTTGGTTCTTTCGGCAAAGTCACGTAGGTATAAAATAAAATACCTACGTGACTTTACCGAAAGAATCGAAGAGTATGGATTCCTGCAGTCACGAAAGCTTCAAATAATAAGAATATGCATGTTTACTTTGCAACGCATCAAGCATATTCAAGTCTTATGAGGGTTTTCCCAAGAAAGTATTTCCTTAAAATGATCTTGAGACTAAATTAGGCTTTCTGAAATAAATTACTGAATCATTACACAATATATATATATTTTAAATATCTTGTCATTGTTTTTTCTCATCCCGCATTGCTATTAATAAAGTAACAAATGTTGCAAATACAATACAAACATAATCTACAAGCTCTGAAAATGTTCAACTAATTAAAAATGCAATGCGAACCTTCGAAGTTTTTAATTGATGCAAATCTCAAATAATGTTTGATCGAGAAACGTATTTCTGCCATGAGAACGTAGATTTTCAATCTGGCTTAGAGACACCAAATGAGGTGAATGATGGCTCCTCAATGCCTCATCACTGAGACACTAAACTTTGATGAGACTTGAATCCCTAGCATGGCAATATTTTATTATTGGTACTGCACACTACAATAACTAAATAACGCATATGAGATATTTACCAGTCTTCATATATACTGTTAGAAATGTCAAGACAAGTGAAATATAAGCCGTTGCCAATAAAGGTTAATGTGAAACATGTTTCAGCAGTGCTACATTTTATTGCATGTGACAAGTCCGGTGCTGTGGGACTTATCACAGATAGTGGTTATTTCTTCAATAGCCTCTAAATCACAATTTAAGCTTTGCCGTCTTTTGTCTTAGAGAAAATCTTCACAGATAAGAAAAGCTTTACTACCAATAATTGGCTACCAAAAGGGGAGCAGGCAATGACATTGGCAGTTTGACCTACAATAGCAACGTAGTCTCTTTAATGGTGTGTTTTTGAGATTGACAGATCCTATTATAAAAACGCAGAATTGGTTTTAACAGACACGATCATAAGCATGAAAATATGCTTTCTACAGCATCACCTCTTGACACAGATATAATGATAATGACTTTAAGACGGCATGTTCATTTTATCATTAAAGCTCGTATCATTACAGCTTCAACAGCTTCACCTCGTTTTTGTGCTCGACACGGATATCATGACTTTATACAGCGTATTCACTGTACCGTTACAGCCTGGGAATTGTGACACGCAAAGTTACATACTTAGCCTTTATGCTGCCACCTACGTCGAAGGAGTTGTGTTACGCGAATAATAAGAAGAGGCAGTAAGGAACAATAATACCGGTTTGGCGTCACATCACACTGCATGACGCTTCTGTTGAAGTACTGCCTTCAAGTTAGTGTAAAGACAGTACGGAGCGATAGTGGGACAATATGGTTCCCCGGGACCATGGTTACTAATGTACGTGCTAATGATGATTGATGAGACAAACGTTGACAGGGTTACGTGAAAGGGAGCACGGGATCCAATGGCGGGGGAAGTGTAATTAGGGTGGGGAGTGACAGAGCAGGTGCGTCGAGGAGAATTCGAGAATAGGGGTGTGGCCTGACCAGGTGAGGCTTCAGAGCTGACGCGAGCCGGAGCTGGTGCTCGTTGGTGTGGGGAATCGCCGTCGTCATTGTCGCCTTGGAACGGGTCATCTCCATCGTCTGCGAGTTGTCTTGAGGCTAGAAGCTATGTTGTCTCTGAATAGAGTTGTCTAACTATCCAAGTGTATAGAGTCACTCCCGGTTACTCGTTGAGTTGTCAGTGGATTTTATTCATAACAAATATATGGAAGACAAGATAGTGTCTCTAAATTACACGAGTATGTGTGCGATTTAGCATTGCGCGATACAACCGAGACCCACAATAAAGTTGCTGATACAGACTGCCAAGGGGGAATGGCAAAATTCAATTTAGGATTGCCGACACAGCAAGAGCAAAGCACATTGTAACAAGAGGAGCACGCAGAGAAGAGCACTCACCTTCGTACAACCAGTCAGCAATGCCATTAAAGATGACGCCTTCCTTTCCGGAAGAGGTCAGCCGCAAGGCACTGCTTCTGACCTCCGACTGGTAGTAAAGGTTATTCTCAAAGATGTAAACCTGGAGACAAACAAAATAACCCAACATTTAACTTTCAAATGTCAACAAATCATTTGATGCAAGTGATGCTTCAAGAATGTGACTTTAAGATGGTAAACAAGTGAAATGTCAGCATGCCATGTGCGATGGCTGGATTACTGAAATGTGGAGGGGATTTTGACACGTTCGATTGAAATGCCTTTAAAGAAATTGGAATATGTGTTCAGCCAACCAATTATTAAATCTGACATTTCACCCAGGGACACCTGCCAAGGGATACAGAACACTATCTGTCTTTTTTATTATTATCATTATTATTTAGGATTATGCCAGTGGAACACATGTTTTCAATGAGAGATACTCATGACCTTTCTTCATTTAAATTTGTGGAAGATTGTCAAAAAGGCTCTCACTAGCTACATGAGCAAGTAAGTTGAGTTAATCAATAAGAAATCTCTCTGACACTTGTAAGAAAGACTGTGGTTTACCATAACATTTTGGACTCAATTCACAAATGTGCCATTTCTAACAAAAAATGGAAGATTTCTGTGATGTCAACCATATTTGGATACATTTTTGCCATTGAACCAAGTTATAAATACAGTCATTGGTCATGAGATATTATAATAATGCTGTTGTATGTTTTATTTTTCTGTTTTACAAATAAAAGTACGTATTATATTATGCTTACATTTATATATTATCAGTTAGAAACTACATTTAAGTATATATTTTGTATATTTCTCCCTCAATTTTAACCCAATTGTGCTTATGGCATCATTTCATGAAATGAATAATTCATCCGGATCTCTCAGGGCATTGTTCATGGAAATATATATAAAAGTTACTTCTGACATCCATTCACATCACCACTGTTTCACAAGACTTTTCAAACCACTCTGCATATGAGAGCTATGTTCATCGCATGACATTCAAACTAATATAAAATCAAAAAAAATTAAATCACGACGTTTCGGGCGCAACACAAGCGTCCGTCATCAGGTTGGACAACCACAGCAGGAAACAACTGCTGAAGTGGGCAAAATGGCTGCCGTGACAAGAGGCTATACAGGTAAGATAGGGAGGAGGAGCCAGGGAGGAGAAATAGAGAGGGGGGGGCGGGTAGGGGAAGTGGAGCACTGCTAGAGGGATTTACCGAAAGAACCAAAGAGTATGGATCCCTGCAGTCACGAAAACTTCAAATCTAGATTCAAACTAATATTTTAATAATTATCAGAGCTGGAATTTTATAAAATGAAGTGTAGATACAAGAGTAATGTGAGGTTTTATTTTTACATGCAGTCATTGGCAGCCATGTTGAGACAAACAACTAACTTGAGAACTCATTTTAATCACAGGCAACTGTCTGTATTCGAACCCAAAATATTAGAAGTTGCAAGCTCCACACTTTGACCTTTAAGCCACCCAGCCACCTCAGGTCTATGAATTGTTAATTGTCAAAACCTAAACGTCTATATCAGCGGTCGGGAACCTATGGCTCGCGAGCCATATATGGCTCTTCCGGTGACGGCATATGGCTCCCAGACAATTTTGAGTTGAAAAAATAAATAAAAATAAAATCAGTTTGGAACTGATTTTAAAATACTTGTGATATTGCTTAATAATACCGTGTCATTTTAAAGTAAACAGAAATTAGTTTTGAAGATAAATTTCACGGGTCACGGGGCCTCAACGCCTGCATGAAGCTCAACCTCACCACGTACGAACCAGACTACAAGGCCATCAGCAAAACCATGCAGCACCAGAAGTCGCATTAAAAGTGATACATATTTAATTTATTATACGTTAAAAATACTATATGGCTCTCAATGCAATATATTTAGAAACATTTGGCTTTTATGGCTCTCCCAGTAAAAAAGGTTCCTGACCCCTGGTCTATATGCTTGAAATAGCGACGGTGCCATGTGACGACTGAAATGTTTTATGGGCTGACTGGTTTGTAAATTAAATGTATCTCCTCAATCAGCCATTTTGTCATCTGTGTTTAAAATTCAAGCTTATGGAATTTCATATTATTCGGACACCGTCTTTTCCGTGTAATTTTATTATATTCTTATAAAATTGCTATATAAGCAGGAATGCTTTAGAGTTCATGTTTTTCATGTTGCTTTTGGCTCTGGGAAAACATAGCTCACTGACTACACTACACCAGTATTTGGAACAGTATTATTCAACATCCCATGATAACTTGAAATTTGGCTGATTTCCATCATACTTAATGTTGCATTTCAAATGCTGATTACAGATTATTGTCGTATATAGCATCACATAAAGTGTTATGCTCTGCTTCGTAGAGCATAACACTGTGATTACCAATTAGTGTGAAATGCACAGTTGTTTGAGAAAAGCTTAAAGGCAATGACAATCATCAAAGACCTGCTCGACTCTCACCATGGCAGCCATCCTGAGAATGCCTTCCGACAAAGCATTCTAATATATTAAATAAATAACGTTAGAAAACCTTTCCTGTAGTTTTATTGCATTGCAGTACTTTAACAAATCAATGCAAAGCATTATTTTCGTAACTAACGCATCAATATTGTTTGCAAAATCCACGTCTGATATAGAACATATTTAAATTGTGCTCATAAAAAATATACATTTGAATAGTGGAGATGTGATTCTTGTGTATGAATTATTTATAACATATATATACTGTATATTTATATTTTTTATTGTTCAAGATCCCAACATACAAATATCCGCGAGAGAAACTCAGGTCATGAACACGTAACATTTCGAGCGAAACCCCCTCAGAAAGGGGATCTGTTGGAAGAATTTTGGCTCACAGCCACCGTAGGGGTGATGATCGGTAGTAGCGTATTTGAAGGGGGGGGGGGTGGATGGGGAAGGGGTATGAATACATGTCTTAATGCTGATTGATATTTGTCTTTAATTGAAAAATATTATCGCAGACGAAGCCTAATTATTAATTTATCTGTCAAAAATAAATATTATGACGGAAGCAATCAAATTGTTGAAATGAATTGAATTACAAAAGTGAGTAACAATAAGGCCATGACTAATATTCAAGACTCTTGAGATTTCCTGGTCTGTGCACTGGTAAATGGGAATACAGTGAAGGCACCTGCGGGTCAGTGTATTGTGGTGCCTTTTATGGGTTCAGCCATGGGCCCATAAAGAGCATTCCATACATAAAACGCTCAAATATGAAACATAAATACACCAGATATACATGATCATGAATTGTACGGTCATGGGCTATACATCACACCTTTCTCGTTTGCGAACAAAAAAACAATTACAGTGTTTGCTAACTTTAATGTCATGGGCAATATCAACACACCCGTTATTGGCTGCCCATCTCTGCAGCCGATGAGTTGATCCCCACTGTCTGGTGGAGATGCTGTTTGTTTGTCTTTAAAACGATTTAAAAGTCCGAAGGCGACGTGTGTGTGCCTTTTTTCCCATCTCCCACATTGTAGACAACACAATTGTTCTCCTTTATGTTTTTTTCTCTTCTGCTGGCCCCATTGTACGTTTTGTGTGATAAACGCTCAAATAGATTGTCTTGTCATGGCAGCCCTTCTCAACAATGTTAGGGGAAAGCAAGTACACATTCTGCACTCGTGAATAATCATAAGGGAACAATTGCCATTCACTGTGACAACCTATTGTGTACAATATGGGATCTTCTATAAATAAGCCATGTGTTGCCATTCATTTTTATGAGGAAGTCACCTTTACATCTAAATTAAAAACTAATTCCTTTAGAACTGCTTGTTGTGTTTAGATTGTTGTCCTTCCCCCGCAGCTCCGATTAGTACCGTTGGCTACGTACGGTGCGAAAGACGTTCAACATACATATATATGCAATACAAAAATAAACGCTAATATGCAATTTTGACTAAACATTCAGATTCTTGGGGGTACAAAAGTATGTATTACTTAATTAAAAATTGGTCAACTAAATGCTAACCAAACTCTACCCTAAAACACAAAAAAACGTGATAGATTCAATAACATGGCGTTATTGACGGCTTGTGCTTTAGACAGAAAACGTATCGACAATGCAAACGTATTGATTGAGTGATGCCACTTTCTACTCCCCGACCTTTATGATGTCAAGAGAAAATGTGGGAAAGGGGTGAACTATTGCTGTGGCCAATTAACAAGCTGGCAGACCAAATCTTGTAAGTGAGGCTGCACTCTGTTTTCGTACAATGTAATTCTAACCTACGATGCTCCATCTTTTTAATGGTGGGCATAACAGCCCACAGCACTCAAAGCGAAGCTTTTGTGGCAGACATGCGGCATGTCCATTAAAACACACACTTTGAATAAATGGCAGTACTCTAATACGATTTCTCCCACAAATAATCAATATATCTGGCACTGACAATCAGAAAAACTTGATAGAAATGTCAATGCATGTTGTATATGCATTGGGGATATTTTATGTATTTTTAATTTAGAACCTATTATGTTGATGAAAGTTAAATACATTCCAACAACACTATAAATGCTACAATTTGTGGAATGTATGTCAACAATTCTATTTTTTTTATTGCTGTCACCTGAGTGTTTTTTGAGTTATTGAGAAATGTGTGGCGTTGTATAACCAGATACGTACAGAATTCAGCAAATACATGAACACAAGGTAGCCTCGATTTGCGCTAACTCAAAATCTAAGAGGACAAACCACTGATTTATAAGAACAACATTACTCGATTCGGTCTTGATTGTAATTGCTGGGCATATTCAAAGTTTGCATAACATTTGCCAACTGGGGAAAAAAAAACTAAAAACATTTGTCGCCAAAATTACAACTGTTGCAAAACAGCATTCCCTAAAGAAGAATGAATTTCTATCACTTGAGTGGAAATCAATCTTAACCAATCCTGTAAGTATTACGCATAAACCTAGTAAAACCCCTCCATTGGCAAACTCAGAATATTTCCCCTGCATGCTTACCCAACATGCAACCTACTCGCATCACATTTGATATCATATAGTATCACGAGATGATGTATTATGTT